CAAATACAACCCTTCTGAATGAAACACAACAAAAAGTAACAAAACAGGTAAGGCAAGCATTTTTATTCAATAGTAATGATCTAGGCCCATATCATGTATATCATCAAAAACAAAACTCTAGAAATATTTCGTTCAAATAATTTAGATTTGTATATTCCAAAATTTATTTTACACAGATTAGGAGTTATTAGAGATATAGACACAGATTTGTCGGAAGAGTATATTAAAAATAGAATTAAACAGTATGATAGTCATTGCATATTTGAAATTGCAAACGTTAAAAGAATTACACGTAAAGTAGAAAAATTTGTTAATGAGGAAAAAATTGTCGAATATGTCCCTACTAAGTCTTGTATTGTGACCTTTAAATCGCAAACTTTACCTAAATATAAGGTTATTAAAGAAGTTAAAATATATAAACAGAAAGTCTTGTTATGCTTTAACTGTCTTAGATACGGCCACTTAGAAATTCAATGTAGAAGTCAGCCAAGATGTAACAGATGCCAAGAAACTCATAATTCAAAGGATTGTACAAAAGTTGAGTTCACAAAAGTATGTTTCAATTGTAAGGGGAATCATTTGACTACAAATTTAGGCGATTGCCCAGAATTCACACGACAAAAGTTAATAAAAGAGACTATGGGTTTAACAAACATTAATTTTTACGATGCAAATAAACAAGTGTCTAAGAATTCATATGCTAGTATTCTTAGGAATAATACAGCCAACAATGTTACAAATTCTCCACAAAATTTACAACCTTCTACTTCCTACCAGGGAAATAATTTTGCTAAATTTATATTTAATACAAACACCAGTAGGCCAAATAAAAGGCAGAAACCAAATAATTCAGACCCAACTGATATAGCTAGAAAAGAAATAGTATCTACAGTTTCCCCTCCAAAACATCATGAGGGAATAGTTAAAAGTCAATTCTAACAAAAAAACTTAAACATTGCAGATTCACAGTCAGAAGAGTTAAATTCTTCTGTAATAAATGTCATTTTAGATTCGGTTCTTACAATTGTTAATTCAATTAAACAAAATAATAATTTTAATATTTCAAAAGCTGATGTAATTCAGATAATTAGTAACCATTTTAACCAAAATCTAGCATCAAATTCGCAGACTTAAATAAAATAAACGTATTACAGTGGAACTGTCGTTCAGCAGTTGCTAATAAAGAGAATTTAGAATATTTACTTCATCAAAACGACATCACTATAGCTCTATTAACTGAAACCTGGTTCAAACCGGGAAAATATTATAATTTTAAAGAATTTAATTGTGTTTAATTATTTAAACGACGGGTCCCCACTCTTGCTATCTCCAATAAACCTTCTGCTGTAGACTTAACTATTTGTTCCCGAGATATTGACTCTTATTTTCGTTGGAGTACTTTACAAGAACCTTATGGATCCAATCATGTGCCAATTATTTTTTCATCACAAAGTTTCTCAGCAGCAGAAGACAGATCCAGTAGAAAACATAGAATATGGAACTTTAACAGAGCCAATTGGATGATGTATACCAGCACTTTGGACGCAATGAAAATACCATTAATCTACGAAGAATTGGTAACAAATATAAACCAGGCAGCCAAACGTCGCTATCCCAAAACATTCTTCCATTAAAGAAAAAAACAAAGGTCATATTCCGAAACCATGGTGGAATAATCATTGTCAGTTAGCAGCTGAAAATATAAAACATGCGTTTATAAATTATAAACAGAATCCAACGATCCAAAACCTAATGGAGTTTAAACGACTAGATGCTATTGCAAAAAAAAATCTTCAAACAGAAGAAAAAGAAGAATTGGATTGATTTTTGCGAAAGTCTAAACTCAAGAACACCAATAAAAGATGTCTGGCGAAAAGTTAATTGTTTAAAAACCGCAAACAAGCCAACAAAGTACCTATTGATCCAGAAGATACATGGTTGCAGGAATTCCATAGAAAAATTGCCCCGGCATGGGTTCCAAATGACGACACTGTACAAAAACATATCCAAACAGTACCCAGACAAAACCACAATTTTGACGAGAATTTTCATTTATGGGAATTGCATCGTGCCCTTGAACAAAGAAATAATACTTCTCCAGGTATTGACAATGTGTCATATTCGCTATTATACAACCTACCTATAGAATATAAAATTTCACTAGTAAACATTTTCAACAATATTTGGACAAATAAGACATCAGTACCAAATAGTTGGAAGTGGTAATTCCCATTAAAAAACCTGACAGACCAGAACGTGATCCAAGTTCTTACCGACCTATCTCCTTATCTTCATGTCTTTTAAAAACGTTTGAAAGAATAATTAAAAATATATTTGAACATTGGCTAGAACACGATGGTATACTTCCAAGTTCCCAATATGGTTTTCGCAAGTCTAGGTCCACTCAAGATGCAACTACAGCTCTAGTTACTTCAATTCAGTTTAATTTTACATCAAATAAGTCTACAGCAGCTGCGTTCCTTGACATTTCTGCTGCTTTTGATAATGTCAATTTAGACATTCTTTACCAAAAAATGTTGTATATCGGAATCCCTAGATCATTTGCTCTCTTTTTAAAATCTTTATATTCTAACAGACTAACTTTTTTAAAAATTAATAATGAGGAATTTTCATACCCCCGACTAACTAACATTGGATTGCCACAGGGGAGTATTTTAAGCCCGATTTTATATATCCTGTATAACATAGATCTTGAAGTTAGTATACCCAACCATACAAATATTCTTCAATATGCTGATGATGTTGTTTTATATACAGCAGGAAAATTGTTAAGTACCTGTGAGGAGAATTTAAAAGTCACATTAGAAATCGTAAATCAGTACTATGAAGAAATAGGATTATCAATTTCTGACACAAAAACTGAAGTGTGCTATTTTTCACAAAAACATAGAGTTCCACAAGGCAATCTTAATGTGGGAAAATTTAATTTCCCTATAAAAAACTGTATTTATCTTGGTATGTATCTAGACAGGAAATTGTTATGGAAAGATCACATTCATCAAATTGTTAAAAAATCGGAAAACTCAATAAACATTTTAAGAGCTTTCTGTAAAACACTAATTGGGGAGCAGACCCAAATATTGCTTTGATGTTTTACCGTAACATGATTAGGCCGATTTTCGACTATAACTGTCATTTATTTGGATCAGCGGCCAATACACATCTAAACAAACTTATTATGCCTAGGTTATTTAAAATCCACTCCAATCCAAATAATGGAAAATGAAGCGGTGGAACCTCCATTGCATTTACGCCGCCAATTCCTTAGCGACAAATTTACAGTCCGAATTATGTCCAAAAATTGTAAATACCTTCAAGATCTTAATGAGCTATCAGTTTTAGACCTTACCCATAGGTACTGGAGAACTAAAAAATCTATACCTTTGGTAGAAACCTATGTAAGTACTGTAAAATACAACGATATTCTCTATAAAAGTCAAATTCCGCCCTACTATGGTGAAATGGCCAAAACACTATTTTCTAGAAAAGTTAGGATATGTTACTTAAACTCACATTTACTCCCAAATATGTTTGATATAATTATTAAAGAAAAATGGACAAATTATCAGTACATTTTTACTGATGGGTCAAAAGATGCAAATGGAACGGGCTGTGCAATGTTCCACGAAAATAAAAATTGCCATCATCAGTATAGCTTACCCAGTGAATGCTCAATATATACAGCAGAAATGATGGCAATATTGTTTGCTCTTCAGTATGTAGTACAAAATCCTACTAACAACTATGTTATATTTACTGACAGTAAAAGCGTGGTAGACAGATTTAACAACATACAAACAGTCAAACACATAAACCACATTGAACTGAAAATTCTTAAAATTCTTTATGAAACTATACAATTAGGATTAAATGTAATAATTACATGGATCAAGGGCCATTCGGGAATAAAAGGCAATGAGATCGTTGACAATTTGGCTAAATCGGCATATATGCTTGAAGTAAAAGTAAACAAAAATTTAATTCCAGCGACAGATATTGACACCGTTAGTAGACAAAAACTTAAAAAATAATTGGCATTTACATTACACAGAATGTAAGACTGGCTTAAATTTTTATCATTGTAACACTAGGATACCCTCAAGAAGATGGTTCTACACAGAATCTAATCGACATTTTATAAAGACCATTAATCGGCTGCGAGCAAATCATGCTCTTACGCCATCTTACATGCATGGAATCGGCTTATCAAATACTCCCAATTGTACTTGTGGCAAAATAGGCGATCTAACACATATTATATTAGAATGTGATTTACAAATTAATAATATAAACGAACTTTATAAGGAATTAATAAATTCTAAGTGTTGTTTTCCAATAAACCTTAATCTTTTAATACTTTCAAATAAGATAGAAATTCTTCATTGCATTTACAAACATGTTAAAATGTGTAAATACAAGATGTAAATAGTATATAGGCATAATCTGTTAATATGGTTTGAAAAAAAAAAAACAAAAAAAAAAATTATAACACAAATTAAGAAAAAAAAAACAAAAGAATTAAGAAAATAGATATAGAACAAAAAACAAAAAAAAATAAATACAAAAAAAAAACAAAAAAAAAACAACAAAACAAAAAAGAAAACAAAACAAAAAAAGAAGATAAAAGAATAAAAAAAAGAAACAAAAAAAATATATCAAAATATAATTTATGTATAAGTATTAGGTATATGTAGTACTAACATTGATAACTTAAAACAAGAAAATTTTGACTATGAATCTGCAATCACTAATAATTAAAATTCAATCGATTTTAACAATAAAAACAAACAAGTCTGGCTAATTGGCTCTGCCAAAGCCATATTACAGAAAAAAGAAATTAGATTATTTTCAGGGATAAGTCTGCATGAAACATCCTTGTATTTTTAATTACAAAATAGTTCGATAAATAAATAAGTTTTCATTTTTGTAATATCGTAAACATAAACTCCCTTAATGTTGTTATGTATCTCTTACCTTACCTGCAACAGTATCAACTTTTTTGTTTTTCAAATCTACTTTCCTAATTGCATGGTTTTCAGTATCCGCAACAAAAAGTATATCTCTATTTTGGAAGGTCAATCCTTGCGGATTATTAAATTCAGCATCTTCTAAACTACCATCCTTAAACCCCAATTTATTTCCACCTATTTGTTGTATAATGGTACCATCTTCCTTTAAAATTAATATTCGATTATTGCCCGTGTCCGAAACAGCCAAAATTTCATGGTTATTTTCATCTAGTATGTTAGTAATTTTTCCTGGAAATAGTAATGGTCCTTTGAGATCAGGTAACAAATGGTAGGCAGACTTAATTGGTAATTTGTGATTAGAGATCAAGTTCTTTTCCTTATAAAATTTCAATGCGTTCTTTATATATAGTATAAGATTGTCTTTATGTCCCTCTCCAGTCAGCATAACTATAGGATTTCCAGAAGGGCCTAAGACGAGTAAAGTAGGCCAACAATGTACACCACATTTTTTCCACATGTCTGAGTTACAGTCATTAACCACAGGGTGAGATATGTTGTACCGTTGGACTGCCGCCAATATGTTGGAAGATATTTTTTCATTCTCGAATTTGGCACTATGGACACCGACCTAAAACAATTTATATACTTACACTTTATACACTTTGTAGAACCAATTGAATTTTTTGTATTTTCAAGTTTTCACTATTGCTAGTACATATAACAGAATAAAGATTTAATTAACATTAATAATTCATATTAACAACTTTAATTGTCTATGAAATTCATACATTAATTTTAAATAAATTTAAAATAATTTAAAACTAGTATAAAAAATGGAATTATCATTGTTTATGATGGCTTTGCATTATTTACTTAATACATGAACCGGATGTAAGCCCACTTTCTAAAAATGTAATAAGTTTCAAATGAAATTAGTAATTTCGAAAATTACAAACCTCGAGTGCAATGTAACATATTACAAAACGCCGCATCGTGCCCTAATTTTTGTAACTTCACTCAACACTAAATGGTACACATTTAAATCTGATGAATGAAGTAAAGTATATTACGGTAATATTAGACTCAACTCAAATTAGACTCCAATATGTAACAAAAAAAAACACTGAAAACTTTGTTTTCAGACTCCAATATGTATATCGGATTTATAACATAGTACTAAAACCCACAATTACATTTGCATCAGTAATATGGTGGTCAAAGGTGCAGCAAAAAAGTGCAGTCCTCAAACTAAAGCAAGGCACAAAGTTTTGCTTGCTAAGGAATCATAGTGGTGAACCCTGCTGCCCTGTTCTGGTCTATTTGACCCAAAAAAAATTATTTCTGATTTTGCAAATTATTACGTAGCGTAACGTTTTGGTGTCGTTTTGGTGTTTCGTGACTTTATTACCGAGGCCTTTCAATTGCATACGAGATAAAAATCAACTTCCTGGGTTTTTTAATAAAAATTAAATTATTACCTATAGTACGTTCGGGTCAATATGACCCACGTATTTAAACCGTTAAAAATTACCTGTGTACGTATGTTTAGTTGGCAGTATTACCGACAGTTTGTCAGTCAGGTACGTCTATAAATAGAAACAAGTTCCTGCAAGCTAGAACTTGTAAAAAATGTGTAGTGTAGCCATCGAGCAAAAAGACAATAGAGGGAATGTAAAGGTAGTGGGGGCAAAAATATTGTTAGACAGGAAGTGCAATCTTTAGAGGCCACATTAAACAAGGAAAGAGAGTCTCTCTTCTTGTTTGACATCAAATTTAGTTGGGTTATGTTATTGTTTGTCCTAAATGTCACATGAAATCTTATTTATATTGAAGTTTTTTAACAATTTTGTCGTATTTTAGACTATTACCGATAATAATTAATTAAAACTTTCTCGTCTAAGACACATTCTGAAAAATATTATATAGCTACTGTTAATAAGTGTCAGAAAATTTAAATTTGGCGCATTCGCATTTCCGGATATGTCCATCAGAGGCCACTTTTTTGGTCTCCTTTACATAAGGATTAGATTCCCTCTTTTGTCTTTTTACTCGATGAGTGTAGCTGGACGATGTCATTTAGAAGGGCATGCCACTTAGAAGGAAGCGAGGGTGATAGATAAGTGGTAATCTGGTAGGATACTGATATGCCAAGCGCATTCATTTACATTTCAAATTTCAGTCTATGTTTGCACGTTAATAATGTCGCATCGAAGAACGCTAACCGAAGATGAGCTTCGCGAGCTCGCGAACGTGTCAGAGAGTGATGAGTGTATATCAGAAACAGAAAACAATACAAGTAGTGAGAGTAAGGAAGAAAGTAGTGATGATTCTACGGTTCCATTCTACGTACAACATCCTGTAGAACATTCTGTGAAAGAATGCTCCAGGCAAGGACGGTCACTGTTGAATGAATGATGTTGAATGAACAATTACAATAGCAGACTTAAGTTCTCCATTCAACAATACAGGATAGTTTGAACCACGTTCTTCCAACCATCAATTAATAAAGTACCGGCATCATTTATTTAACTTTGTATCGAGACCTGAAGATGCTTTGAATATTGTAGAAAGCGAAACCGGTCGTCTGGATAGTTAAATTAAATTTATTGTGAGTAAGTCTTATTTATTATTTCTTTTACCTATTTGAAATGGACTCACACAAGCAACACATTCATCGTTTGAATAAAAATATTATTCTTATGAGTACTTTGCATCATAATAAATGCTTCTCATGATCTTGTTGACCCTATATATTTGTTGAGCTCTTCGCATTTACTTTCTTAGAAAACATTTTTTGCTTTAGTTACTAGATTGTTTACTTCTCTGTTTGATCTTGTGTGTGTTCGTCTATCATCTGGGCCATTTGTTTGCACCCACTTTTGATATTCTTGTTTCTTGTTGTGTAGTTCATTAGCGATGTCATTTGTACACCACAATGGACTATCCTTTTTGTGCCTTAGGATCGTGCTGAGAGCTTTATAAGCTATTTCATTCACTTTTATCTCTTGGTAGGTATTCTAGCCCTTTCAGTCACCATATTCGTTTAAACGAACATCAACTTTTCATAAGTGCCAAAGACAGCTAATTCCCATTTTTTACGTTGAATCACCGTGAAACTCCAAATACTCCGATTATCCACCAAAGATGGATTCTAAGCAGAAGGCACTTCAAATTGGCTAGTCGAAATCCCTTTGTAAGGTACCGTGGGAATGGATAAGTATTATTACAGGCCCTTCCTTTCCTCTTGGTGATATACGTAGAAATAATTTTCATTTAATGTTTAATTATTATTTACTTAAGTTGCGAAACTGCAACAAGTGTGTCATTATCATTTCAAATTCAATTCCATATTCGAATTTGCCAGTCATAAAAATTGACTTTTTCCAGAATTACAATTTACGCAAATCGTGAAAATGTAATTAATTTATCTTAAATCTGAACACTTGAGATTCTGCCAACTTCTATAAACATATTTATTACAAAAGCTATTAAGTGGAATTATAAAGTGACTTGCACAAAAACACATGATATATTTAGAAATGTAAAATATTTCAAACCTTTAACGAAAAAATATATTAAATCTTTTTTTAATTTTGGGTTTTTGTCTTCCGTTAACTTTATTTTATAAATAACAGAAATATTACATCATTAAAAAATATATTATCCTACAATTACAGACAATGTATTCGCACAATCTTCATGTTGCTCTGTTGACTTTGCCCATTCAACAGATATGATGTCCTAACTAGTGTTTAATGAGAACATCTGCGATTACACTGAATACACTGTTCTGCTTCTCTAAGAATTTTTGCGTAGCAAGCAGAACTGTATTGGCTGCAAGTTACTTTTTCGGACATCTTTTGGAGAGCATAATGATTCTGGTCATATAAACGGAACACTAGCTCCTTCCTTCTTGCAATCTCGTTACCAGCAATTCATTTTGTATCCTGGCACCTTTAGCCAAGTTACTTTGTTGTCCAATTGCTTAAGGCCTGCTTGCAGTTTCCAGCTGTTACGAACTCACTTAATAGTTTTTAGTGCGATTTGGGGGTCAGAGCTAATACATATTTTTACCAAATTGAGGCGTTTTTTCGACGCTCTTGAGCACACAAATCTACTCCTAATCATTTACTGTCATTTACCGAATAAGCAAGATTCCGAGGGGAAAGCCGATGATAGTACATCATAACCGGCTGGCGTCTTTCGAAGGTGACCACGACGTAGATGAAGAAGTGGAAGTAAACCAAGTCCAAGATGTGTCTGACCTCACCTTTGAGGAATTCATGGGCGCCTATGGAGGTACCGGTAAAGCAAGACACGGTGTTACCACTGAAGAAAGGCAAGATCTACTTGCGCTTCCCGATGACTACTCACTGGCCCTTACCATCCCGGCCAGTATCAAACACGCACCAGGGTTGGCATCCGTCTTTCGAAGGAAGTTCGGCCGAGTTGCAGAACTTCAATGCCAAGTACCAGCTCCCGGTAAAACCTTGAAACTCCAAGATACATCACGTTACCTTTTCTACCTGGTAACAAAAGACACTGCCCGTGACCAACCTACCTACCGAGATGTAGCCTTACTTCAATTGAGAGAGCACGTACTAGAGTCCGACGTGCAAAAGTTAGCCATGCCAAAGTTGAAGTGCCGCCAATTAGATTGGAGGGTTTTCCGAAATATTGTGGAAGAGATCTTTAAAGACACTGAAGTCCAGGTGTTAGTCTGTTGCAATCCGCATAGTTACTGGTGCGGAGAGAAAACCGTCCCTTGTCATTTTTATACAACTGGAAGTTGTAAAAGGGGGTCCAGTTGCCGATACCAGCATGTCGTTCCAGTTCCAGTCCCGACAAGGTTCCAGGAGGAACCATCTTTTAAGAGGGGGTAATGTTACGTAAAAATTAGTCATATTTACAAAAAAAAACCTGTAAACATGTTGTTTAATTCTTATATGTTCTAGATTTGACCTGATGGTAGAAATTCCAGGTAAGACCTACCCGACACGATGGGTCGCCCTCCGGTATGAAAGCGGTCAACCAAATTGACCTTTCTAGAAACAGGCCGCTATAAAAAACCAGTTCGAGACTATTCAGGTCAACTTCAGTCTGCTTCAGAGAGATCCTATGCTGACGACATTTAATATAAATACAGGATTTTTATTGTGGGGAAGCCAGTTAGTAAGAAGATAAATTCGCGGTCGCGTATTTAAATGTACGTTCGTTATAAATTATTGTAAAATAAATTAGTACAAATTTAGGCAAAGACTTTAATAAATTTGTGAGTGTTATAAATAGAACCTTTAATAAATTAAATTAAGAACTATAAATTAGAATTAATAAAAATATAACATTACCTTTTCCTCAAGAAAACAAAGTACTATCAAAACCCTACACTTCTTAAATCAGAATTATCCTGGGCTTTCAATAACTATATGCGTGCAAGGTCAAAGGTAAGTTAAATAAATTGTATAATTAGTGCAGATATGATGTTTTTGAGTAATACACTTCAAAATCTCTACACATTACTAACAAATAAACTGAATATGATACTTACCACAACTAAACCATCTTCTATTGAAAATTTGTTTTCAAGTTCTCTCAAATCGGGAAGGATATGCATACAATTTATACAGCAATAAGTAAAAAAATCTAAAACAACAATTTTTCCTTGGAGGTGCTTCTTCATAGAAAGAGGTTCTGTTGTATTGAACCATTCCAATCCTAAAAATAACATGTACAGTGTGACAAAAAGCAACACAATTGGCTAATATTTGAATTCAAAAGTAGACAAAAAAAAAATCAATAGCTTTTTCAGATAAGAGTATACCTCACTGAAAAATATACTACAAACACTATATTCAAAATTAAATTTCTAAGTGCATGGATAGGTACATACTATTAATATTTTGGTAAACATATAATATACAGTGCTTTTCAGATAAAACTATCCACCTTAAATAACTTTTGAACCTCTAATTTTTTAGAAAAACACAAAAACACGTCAATTAATATCTGAAGTGGGAGACATTATATCATATTTAAGGTTGCTGGAAAATGCACCCTCTCACCCCCTCTATCAACCTTTTATTTTTTTTTTAAACTACTTCACCATTTTTTTATTTTATATTTGGATTCTCCTTTTTGTACTGATTTCAAAAATGTATAATACCTTTAGCTTGAAGTGATTAGTTTATGAGATGGACAATTTTCCTGTTAACAAGACAGTATCTCTCTCACCTTAATTGACTGTAACAAAATAGGTTGTAGCATAATTTAAACTTTTTAAATATTTAACCGTACTATTTGTAGTATCTTCAAAAACCAAGATATAAAAAAAATTTACTTTTTGTGCAAGTTTTATCAAAGGTTTTATCATTTGTTTTAATCGGTTATAGCGACAATTTGTTATAACTTGTAAGTAACAGCCTATTTTGATACGTGTGCAATTTCATCGCTGAAATGGGGTACGCTTTGCAAAAAAGAATCGAGATTGTATATTTATACTACAAAAATAATAATTGTGCAAGAGCTGCTGCTAGAATTTTTAATAAAACACACCAAAATAGACATGCAATTCATAAGTATGTGATTGAACTGATGCAGAAAAATTTAGAGCAAGAGGGTCAGTTTGCAATAAAAAACATAACCGACAGGAACTTGTAAATAACGAAGCAATCCAAGTAGCTGTTTTAGGGCAAGTTAACTTAGACTCTTAATAATCACAGTCACTGTCAACAATAAGCAGAGCAATCGGTGTTTCATCTTCTACAGCCTTCCGAGTCCTCCATAAATTTAAGTTTTATCCATATAAAATTAAATTAGTACAAGAGTTAAATGAAGATTTTGATCTTATTTATAATACTTGCTTCTCGGATGAATGCCCATTCTCATTAAACGGTTTGGTGATCAGATATAATTGCCAATACTGGACTGAGAGTGATCCACATATTGTACGCAAATTTCACACACATCATCCTCAAAGGTTAAACGTATAGTGTGGTATCCTACGTGATCACATTATCGGACATTTATTTGTCACTGAAAACTTAAATGGTGCATCGTATCTTGAATTATTTAGGCAAAGTGGTTGATCGTTAGAACAATAGTAGAAAATGATGATAACCTTACCGATGATTTGGTTGTATTTCAACATGATGGAGCTTCTCCACACTTTGCTTTAACTTTGCGATAATTTTTAAACGAAACGTTTCCCGATCCTTGGATAGGTAAAAGACGACAGATGATGGATTGGCCACATAGGTCACCGGATTGAACACCCCTAGACTTCTTCTAATGGGGGTATTTAAAAACAAAAATCTAGATGATTTACAACAAAGAATACAGGATGAATGTCGACAATTAAATGCAGACGTTAAGCAATGTCAGAGAATAATTTCCAAATAGATTGTACTATTGTATGGAAGTGAAGGGCAGTCATTTTGAACAATTATTGTAAAAATTTTTAGTAGTGAAATGTTCGTTCTAAATGTGTGTAATAAAATTGTTAAAAAATATTTTTTTTTCAATCCAATTTTCTTGCTTTTTTATTTATTTTTCTCATAAACTAATCACTTCAAGCATCATGTATTATACATTTCTGAAATCAGTACAAAGAGGAGAATACAAATATCAAATAAAAAAGGGGGAAGTAATTTAAAAAAAAATAAAGGGATGATACGGGGGGTGAAAGGATGCATTTCCCAGCAGCCTTAAATATGATATAATGTCTCCCCCTTCAAATATTAATTGACGTGTTTTTGCGTTTTTCCAAAAAATTAGAAGTTCAAAAGTTATTTAAGGTGGATAGTTTTATCTGAAAAACACTGTATTGGAGTACATATATTAGGGTTAAAGCTGTATATCATAAAAAACCTCTTCTTAGGAATACATGATTAATTGCAAAATAAAGAATTTTTTAATTTCTTTTTATTTAATTGGACAGAAAATTATAGTTACAAAAAAATACATTATGAATATTGCTAGGTGATCACTGTACTTAAAAAATATGAGATACTTAATAATTTACCCTATACTTATAACATATAAAACAACACAAACTGGAAAAATGTATTTGAAAAATAAGTAAACGAAACTTTAGCTGTGTATTACAAACATGTATTATTAACATTCTATGACCATAGTTCTCACTTTGCTTACAGAATATTAAGAATACATACTGAGAATATATTAAGAATATGATATTATACTAGCGTATTTTTAATAAACTTTTTTTAAAAAGAACCAAATTAATTGTTAAAAATATTCAACCTCTCATTTAAGGTCGCGGAATATTATCAAGCACGTATAGTTTCCGGCAGGTAGCGTTTCCAGTCCAGCAGTCGGACTGCGAGTTCACATTTTCAAACATATAATGTTTCACTTTGTTGCGGTGAAGATGTGTTCTCGCTTTACCAAATATTTTCTTTTTTATTTGCATCATGATAGCATTTATTATTGTAAAAAACGAAGAGGTATCACTTCCGTGTAAACGTCTTAACTGTTTATAACTTCCGTGTTTAATTGTCACAAAGCAATCAAAGCACATGCATAAATGACAAAATAGTCTCGAAAATTATTTTTTTAAATACTTTTTATCAAAATTAAACAAATACCTAAATAAACAACGAGAGGAAAACGATGGAATCCTAATTCACATTATCCCTACCAACTGGTTTCGAATCATTCCGTAGTGGTTGGCATCCGTAATATATTGTTTTCGAATATACTGAATGGAAACGTAAGGTGTTTGATACGATACGTTTCAGACAGTGTGAATTGTTCATATTTAAAACCATTTAAATTAAATTTTTCGGAAACTAAACGCTACGGGCTGGAAACACAATGTGCATGATAATATGCAACAACCTTTATACTTAAAAAATCTAAAGATATGCCAAAAAAAGAGCTTTTGGACGTTATTCACATTTGGTCCCAGTGAAGATAGCCTCAGATGGGTTTGACAGAATGAAATATTGGTGTTTGGCAGAATGAAATATTGGTGTTTGGCAGAATGAAATATTGGTGTTTGGCAGTTGAAATTTACATTACAAATGAAACATAGGCAATCAAAAGCAATAAGATATTTAAAAAATAATACTTAACGATTAACAAAAAAGAAAAAGTTAATAGTTTTAAAACAGTTTTTAACAGTAAATAGTAAAATGTCAGTATACATAATAAAGTTAAAATGGCATCTGTTGCAATCTGGCAACTGGTGGTTTGAGGGTTCTGACTCTATTGCCAAATCTATCCTCTAACCTATCAAAGGGCAATTGCCAAAAAAATTTCTAATAATTAATTGCAACTAATATCAAACGAAACAAATATTACTTCATTAATATTTTATATAATGCATAAAATTGCATAAAAATGTACATTATAAAAGCTTTATCTCTTTGTATTTGAAGCATACAACATATACATTATAAAAACATGGCAACACTGCCAACGCAATATTTCGTTGTGTGAAACTTAATTGTGAGAAGAACAAACGGCATTTAGACCGGAAAGACAGACAAATGACAACATATATATCATTAGAAACCTAATAGAAAGAAGCATAGACACGGGGAAAAATAGTATTAGCATTCATAGACCTAAGAGCAGCATTTGATACAATAGAAAGACATATTATAGGGAAATGCTTGAGAAAAATAAATGTACCTAATGCATTGATAAAAATTATAGAAAGTACTTACAAAGAGGTAAAAGGAAGGGTACAAATAACAGGGGAAAGATCGGAAGCATTTAATTGGAACAAGGAGATAGTCTCAGCCCTTTGCTATTCATAATAGTAATGAATGAATTGATAAGAAACACTAGAGTCAGAACCAATCAACTACAGACAATAATAGGTTACTACAGATTACAACTGGTAACAATAGAGTCCTTAATGTATGCAAACGACATAGTACTAATAGCAGATTCCGAGAATAAAATGCAGAAACTAATGGATATATGGTTAGAACAAATAGAAGAACTAAAAATGGAGATAAAGAAGGAAAAAGTAAGATAATGATAATCAGTGGCAAAGGAGATCAGGAAGATAATCAAATAAAGATAAAATGTAAAAACTCAGAATTGGAAATAGTAACACCCTACGAATACCTGGGAAGTATAATAAATAGACTGGAAAATAACAAATAGAGCAAAGAAATCAAACAAGTTATACTATGCGTTAGCCCCACTAATGGGAAAAAGAGAACTTACATGAGAGGCAAAAATAAAAATATATATCACAATAGTGATACCAACTGCGCTCTATGCAAGTGAAAACTGGAAAATTCTGGAAAAACATAAGAGCAGGATAAACGCAATGGAGATGAGACATCTAAGAAGGATAGTTGGACAGACAAAAATGGGATAGATTAAGCAACAAGACTATTAGGAGAATGGGCAACCAGGAACCGATAATGAACAAAATAGCAAAGAGACAAATGAACTGGTATGGGCATCGGATGAGGATGCAGTCCAATATAATAACAAGAAAAGTTTATGAAGCAAAGAACATCGGAAAAATAAAAAGAGGCAGAACAAAAAAAATGGATACAGCAAGTAGTAGAGGCGAGAAAACTTAAACAAAAATCACTCGAGGAATTGAAAATAATGGCAGGAAACAGAAAAGAATGGAAGAGGTGGGTAAATGGAAATTAAAATAGCTAGCCCAAATCCGACACCCTGATAGGGTAAAAGGACAGAGAGAAAGAAAGAAACTTAATTGACAGCTAATTTGAGGCTATCTTCAATGGGATCAAATGTAAAAATCGTCCAAGCTTTCACCATAATTGATTCAGTGGCCTCCAATATGAAATAAATGATTTTGTCTGTGTTCTTAAAGAATAGAAAATTTATTTTGAGAAAGAAAATCTAGACAGGATATACCATTTAATAACTTAATAACAAATAACAGATAAAGCAAATGTTGAACATTGTTGTTCTTTTACCCAACGATAGCAGTTTAAGATAATCCAATATTTGAGAATATTCTGGTTAGCAATAAGACCCAAATTAAACATGTAGTTAAACATAGCACATTCTACTGTACTGACTTATAGACATTATGAGACTTTAAGATGACTTTAAACTGATAATGCCAATATTGCTGAGTTGCATTCCTGGGACAACTTTATTGTAAGATAGTTTTCAATTACATGAAAATTTATATATGAAAAACAAAATTTGTTTAATGTATTTTTGTTTGTATTTTGAGAATGATTTCCGAAGTGTAAATTGAAAAGTCAATAAACTTATTTTAAGCTTCAATTGTGGCTTATTCATATTCATATAATAGTAATTGCTTTCTTTTGCAGACTTCCATGGAAAAAAGAATAATAATCATGAATAAAGGGGGTATATATTAATTATTATTCAAAAAACTTTCTATTATAGTTGTAAATACTAATCTATGAACAACTATAAAGTTTCGATATAAACTTTTGTTTTAATTTATGCAGTTTTAACTCGTTAATAAACTGCATGTGAATAATTTTATGTTTAAATATTGGCTATGGGCAAGGACACTAAACACAGATAGGATTGATTGTCCTATGCTCTAATGTAAGAAATGCGTTGTGTTGAGTGTGACGTAGGCGTGGGGATTCGTGGTTGACATTTCGTATTGTTTTATATAGAATAGTTGTGCATGCTGCCAATTTTTTTGTTGTGCTAGCGATTTAACGGCCTTATAAGACTATTTAATTATTGTTTCTATATCAATTTACTTGTATACACAATATGGGTGGTAATAGATGGCACCATATATGGCACGTTTATATGGTAGTGACAATAATTTTAAGAGTGTAAAAACCAAGAATATGCCTGTTATTTTTCACAGTTTTCCAAAAGGAAAGGATTTAGTGTCGAAACTTATAAGGGCTTAATGGGTTAACCAATGCAGAAGAGCTGATAATTTTAATCCTGATTCTAGTAGAATATGCTCTGTTCACTTTACAAACAATGACTATAAAAAAGATCTTCAAAATTAATTATTAGGTAAAATGATTAAGCAATAAAATGCTTATAAAATTTTTTTAACGTAACTTATTTTAGCTTTACCTACTAGGTAAACGCCTTTTAAAGAAAACTGCAGTTCCAACACTTTGTTTGTATAAATATACCTTTGACACACACCTGTCTCTACTCGTGAAGGTAGATTAGATGTTATAAACAGAAAGCAGAAATTACAAAGGTTAGGTCAAACATTTTGAATATTGCATCTAATCAACATGAAGATACTATTACTGAATCTAAAATAATTTTTGAACAAGCTGGTGACAATATAGATTTAAAGCCTGAAGTAGATTTTGAAGCAAAATACAATGAATTATTAAACAAGTATAAAAACTAATTTCACATACAAATTTAGTGAACATAGTTTATCATCATGGGTGCAGCAACTCTCTTATGGAGGTTTTATCAAGCCTACAGATGAGTGGTTCATAAAAATAAAATTATGGAATAAATATGAAAAATATATTGATACCTATAGGAAAAATAATGAAGTTGTTGGAAACATTAAAAAAAAAAAGAAAAAGTGTTGCCATATGCGCTTATTTAAAACTTTTGTAAACTTAAATAAATATAATAATTAGAATAAATTATAGAAATTTATAATCCAAGGAAGCTGAAAATTTGAAGTGAAAAAACTTATCTCTGTTGGATTCAACTAAGTCAAAAATTAGAAAATTAAATAAAATTGTTCCATAGGGAATGTTTCTAAAGTTTCCTAGTATTGTATACTGTTTAGTTTTACCTATGTATGTTTATGAAATAAATAGTTCAGTATTGAATAGTTTTATTTATTATCAAATGTTTTTGGATATTAATTTGTGCTCTGACTATGTAAGTAAAACACAAATTTATAGATTTTATTTACCAGAAATATTTACTTTGAGAGTAAACTGGCATTTACTAATTTAATTATAACACAAGCAAATGCATTCATTTCAAAAATAAATTTTATTTGCCATGTAAAACAGATCATTAAGAATTTATAAGTCTGAATGTCTTAGGTACAGTTAAAAATCTAGTTATCTGCCATTTATTTACAAAAACAAAACATAAATTTTTTCGTTTTAAACTTTTTAATCTCAAATTAGGCTTATCTTCCGTAAAAATTAATAGTAACAATAAGGTCAAAAATTGCTCGTCATCCCCACAACTACATCACAGCCGCGTATTGCAGTGACAGGCAAATTTGGGCGATGGAACTATCCTATGTAGTCAACCGTTCTTGGGCTATGGGCATATATGTTTGGTTGTATAGTAAGTTTCAGCCACTGCCAATCAGTCAAAATTTAAATAATGCAACAAAAAATATGTTACTTAATTTGCTACACAGTTGAGACTGGTATCAGCAAACTAAGTATATAGTACATTTTTTCTATTAAATATACTATGTATGTATATATTAAATATATACATATCTGAAATCATTTATCAACATTAAAATCTAACAAATATCTTGACACCACTGAAAAAGGCTATTAAAATCTGCTTTCTGTCACTAAGAAAACTATCAACCAATTTAGCAATCCATTAGAAATCTCTATTTCTTAATTTTTCCATTCCTACCAAGCAATTAAGGTTGTCAAATAACTTGAAGAACATCAACTTTATACACCTTCTTCAAGGCATCTGAAAACTTATGATAAAAAAGTAAATTTATTAGAAGGGACTGACATCCTTCCCTAAAACCATACTGTTCCTCAACAATGATCACTTTACAATGCCAGTTTAAAAAGTTAAACATGATACTGCCAAAAATCTTTGGGATGGGTGACACTATGGACATACTACTATAATTTTTTACATTAATATGTTTGTGATATATTTTACAAAATAAACCTTTTTTAAATTAAATTACTTAAGCTTACCTGGAGTAAAGTCTTGTATAGGAACATGTTGAACATGTTTTAAATACTGTAGTACACCTTCATCTTCATTTTTTGCAAGTTCAATAAAATTTGTAAGCTGTTCATGGGAATAATACAGAGAATTCACACTCATTCTTCTCGTAGTGTATGCTACTGTTTTACTACTTAAACTATCAAAAAGTTTCCGAAATATGTTCATTAATACATTCGTTTAACACCTCCCTAACAAATGGAATGCGAAATGTGTTTAATGATTATGAAATATTTATTTCTAGAAAGTGTTCAAAATACATACAAATAACCTAAAAAGTAGAAATTGAATTTATATGACACTGATTGTGATTCATACTAAACCTACTTTCACATTGTTGTTTTCCAAATATCTCCCCACCAATACAATTTATGTAAATAAATGCACTTCTTTAATTATTAATGATTTAATAAACAGATCGGTACATAAATATGATGGATAGTTTTTGCGTTATTAGTCCAACTAAAAACGACATAGGGTAAGAAAATAATGATCTTCTGAAACAATTTTTGTCCTCCACATGCATTTTCTGTGACAGTAGCTTTTTAAAAAACGAGTTGACATTGTTGACAATGTTGACACAGTGTCCAGGACCGCGCTTAGGTTTACCGGAGACAAAATAATATTTTTATGGCTTATTTAAAAATTAATTAACATTAAGACGCTAAAATTTTTTAATACATTTGCTGCAAGTAGGCTAGACGGTATATGAATATTAACCCATTAGCGCCTACAGTCACCATATGGACCCAGCTGTAAAGGTATTGTTTAACACAATAAAATTATACTAAAACAGGCAACCAACATTACATTTACTGCATGTATACTTTATTTTATTTAAACTTGTTTGAACCTGCGTTGATGAATTTATACTCATCAGTCAGTGTTTTATTAGATTTCACAAGCTAAGGAAGTTAGAAAATCGTGTTATAGTAAAAAGTGTTTTAAATTTATGGCAATTCTCCTAGTAAGCGGATATGATAAGCTACCATCTAAAACAAGCTACTGGGAGAGAAGCCCTGACATGCAAAATATTCTGGTGTCTGATGCCATGAGACCTGACAAGTTTTTACAAATTTATCATTTACTTCATTTTGCAGACAATAATAATATAGATAAAAATGACAAAATGTACAAACTAAGACCACTTACAGATATGTATGACAAATATAATCAAAACTGTAAGCTGCCATTGGATAAGAATATCAAAGATGAAGAAAGAAAATATATTCTGTTGAATATATTGGATCTGCGTATGGTATTGATTTCAGTATAATTTCGTGGAAAGATACCAATAACGTGCGGCTGGGATCGATTTCATCATCGAGATCATTCGCGAATACAACAGACATATGGGAGCAGTCGATCTGAAAAATGGATTGATGGGTCGCTACCATATTAGAACGAAGACATGTCGTTCAATGGTTCGAATTTTCTACCACTTGATCGATATGACTACAACAAACATGCTGAAATGTCGCATACATACTAAAAAAAATGTAGAACTCTACAACCGACTCTTAGGAGATGATCTGCGGAAAGAAAAGGCTTCAACCCCAACTAATACAGAATTGGAAAGGTATACGGTATCTATCCAAAACAAAATAAGCTATGCTTATAAAAAATCCTGTCCAATAAGGATGGTCCAGGAAAGTCGCAAAACCAACTCTTGGTGGTGCACTGAATTGGAACACCTTAGGAAGAAAACAAGAACAGCTTTTAAGAGAGCAAAACGCACCAAACTCAAAGAGGATTAGGATTCTTACCAATCAAATCTCAAAGAGTTTAAAAAACTCTGCAGACAAAGACAAAGAGCTGCTTAGAAAACCTTCTGTGAGGAAATAGAAGATTTCCCGTAGGCTTCCAGGCTGCAAAAAGCGCTCTCAAAGGACCCACATCGGCATATCGGCATGGAAACAAAACTTCCAACCTTTGCGAAAGTGCTGAGGTCCTGATGAAAACACACTTTCCCGGTTCTAGTGTCTTAACAGCACCAAACTGGATGGAAGAAGAAATCATACCCTCAATAAACGACTTGAATCTCGCCAGAACAATGATTAATGAGGAAAAGGTAAAATGGGTCATATTGTGCTTCACCCCTTTCAAATCACCAGGACCTGACGTTATATATTCAGCCTTACTACAGTGGGGACTGAATATCCTTCTGCTGCACCTCGTGGAAGTATTCAGAGCCTCTTTGGCTCTGAGATATATTCCTAGGAAGTGGAGAGAGGTATTGTGGTCTTTATACCAAAACCAGGTAGGATGGACTACACCCTACCAAAGGCTTTCCCACCAATTAGCCTAACATCTTTTCTGTTGAAAACGATGGAAAGGCTATGCGAGAGGTACATAAGGGATGAAGTTCTAGTCCATACCCCACTTCAGCCAAATCAGTATGCATATACTTCGGAAAGATCTATCGATTGTGCACTGCATCATGTAGTGGGAAGAATTGAAAGATGCTGGATAATAAAGCATCCACCCTAGGCTATTCATAGACATTGAGGGAGCGTTTGATAAAACCACATTCCCAACCTCACCCAACAGCTAAACGTCAGGAATGTTCCCTGCCGTAAGCGAATGGATATTCAGTATGCTCTCCAATAGAGCAATAGGCATAAATGTAGAAGACGTTTCTGTAAGAGGCATGGTTACGAAGGAGTGTCCACAGGGAGGGGTGCTATCACCACTCCTCTGGAACATAGATTCTAGATACCACTGGTTGACCAACTCAGCAGCAATGGTTTCTACACAATAGCCTATGCAGACGATAATTGCTGTCCTCGCAAAACGTAATTTTGAGAACACACTACGTGAGAGATTAACAAGTTGCTCTCCACTAATAGAAACATGGTGCAAGGAACACTCACTATCTCATAAATTCTGAAAAACAGAGATGGTCCTCTTTACCCAGAAAATAGAAGAATCACGGGCTTAATACCACCAAGGATTCTAAACTACAGTCTAAAATTTTCTGTGCAGAGGTGGTTGAAGTTACGCTTGGTATTACCCATTGACAGGAAGTTAACATGGAACTCATGCTGTTAAGATTGTCGGACCTTGTAGAGCTAAAAGAGCATATATTGCCTATGAGCAGTGTCGACGAACAGGTTGCAGCACCTGGGGGCTTTGCCAGGGTGATCGCCTGGATTCTACAATGCTTGTTATTAGGTCAATGCTAACTTACGGGGGCCTATTGCCTTGGGTGTTACCACATAAAGTGCTACAAACAACAGCGATGAAAAAACTAAACCATATTCAACGGATGGCTGGCCATATAAATATTAATAACAGGGTGCCCTTATGAAAACAATACCTAACTGCTACAATGGAGTTTTGATCATTGGCATCACGCCTCTATGATATATATGTACATAGCGATGGTGCGCTTAGTGACAAATGATGGGACTGTGCTGCACAGCTGGTGCCAAACCTTGATGTATGGATTGGGGCAATTAAGACTTGTTTCTGGCGGGGAGAGCTGGATGCGCTTACCTCATGCTAAACAGCTGGCTGTTGAGACCAAAGGTTTGTCCTTTTACCAAAGCCCTACAAAATCGAAACAAGAGAGTAGATAGGGAGACCAAACGTGAAAAATGCCTATTGCAATATACACCGATGTGCTTCCAAAAATGAGAAGGAATGCTCCAGGATGCGGGATATACACCTACGTCCAGAGTCACTGAACCTAAGAATAAAGTGGTGGTTTGGGACCTGGGCGATCTTTTTGGTGGTCAATCTCAACAATCCGCTCATACGGAATCTGGTCCAATGTCACTCCCATATGCAAAACCGTAAAAAGATGGGCAGAAGGTCCAAGGATGTAAAACCCTTGCCAGTGCGTAACCACTATGTAACCTTGAAGAGAGTCAGCATCAAAAAGTTGTTAACTTGGGAATGACCAGGAAAAAACCTACGCTTGAACAGAGTGATTTTTTAACTGGTCATTGTCAACTTCGCAAACATCTCCACACACGTAGGGGCTATGCACTACATAACCTCTATGTTGATCAGAAAGTGTGAACGAGAAGTACGAAACTGGATAGAGCAAGTCCTGTTGTGAAATGCCCTAGGGTTGATCGCTTAATACCAGTAGTACGGGGGTGCGTGTGATGATCCTGGCCTCCCGTATACCTGCCCCACATAAGAGAAGATGCCTCTTGGTGACTATGGTCTCACCTTTCGCTATGAAATGGCAGGGGATGGACAATGGTGCTAAGGGCTGAACAGGCTTCCTGGGAGGATGCAACAATGGGTCAATTGTGGCCTAAGGGCTGTGAAACTTATACTCTAAAAAACCGATACAGATTGCTCAAAAAATGTGAATGATTCGAATAATATCTTCAGCGGTAGCATGAAACATCAACTACTTCTGGTATTGGAAAAAAAGCACAACATCTCATTAGATGACATTTCGCTTTCGACGGTATTGAATCACTTTTCCACTTTGGCTCAACAAAACACAGTGACAAAAAATATGGTTAAAAAATGTAAATTTTGCAAAGTGTCGAAAAACTCAACATGTGTGTGTAGCAAATGTGGATCCTCATTTATGTTGCTACTAATTGCCAAAAACTGTTTTCTATACTTTATCCATCATAAAATATAGTGTACACATATTTTTTTCGTTTTGTTTAAGTTTATTTTTATAAAATTCTCCTTCAAATAAGTAAAACGCTATTTTATAACATGTAAAACTGACGAAGGGTCCCCTGGAGGACCCCTTTACCTGTTTTTATCAGGGATGCCAAACATGGAAAAAAATATTGGATTATTAACATGTTAATAGCTTTTGTTTAGTTTCTGAAATTAATTATTTAAAACTTGAAAAAATTTTCCCCCACTAAAATAGGAATAAGTTTTAAGGTATACTTGTGCCTGTTCGAGGGTTTCACCCCCTGTTTAGGTCGTTGAATAGTTAATTGACGGTTGATCTTCCTTGCCCATAAATCCTGCCTGATGTTTTTCCGATGATCTTATCTGCGCGGTGGGTTTGTAGTGCTTTGGTTAAGTTATAGCTGGTAAATATTTTATATCCAAAATACAGCAAGGGGAAACCCCCCCCTACAGTTTTAAACAGAGGCCATTATCGTTCTTTTTGATAGGCTTGGGCACATGATTACTCTTATTCCACCCGTTTTTTGTAGCTTTTTTCTCTTGTCCTTTTATAATTCTGTGGTAGAGACCTTATATATTCTGTGTTTATTTTTTCCCTT